AACTTTTTGCTGCTGAAAAAAACTGGAGAGTTTTATACTTTTGTCCGGAGAGGAGGACGAAACGGTGGATTTAAGTTCTCCCTCCTCCCCCGCACGCATTTCCTCCTCGCGACGCGGCGCGCATCAAATCAGACATCTTTTAAAAAGAATAAATTTAGCAAATACTTTTTATCATATCTTCAGGATCTACTTGGCCTAACGAGATGATTTAAAAACTGATTTAAAGTTCAAAGTCTCTGCTTTTCACTGGAGAGTCAGAGAGGGCAGCTCTTTACAGGTAGAGTTTTTTCTTTCTTGATAACTAACTGCGGTCATTGACAAYGCTCTGCAGATGACGTAATCAGCTCCGCGACACAACGAGGGATGCATAAATCCCGTGACACAACAAATTGATAATGAAATTCGTTGCCACCGCTTTTAATAATAGATTTTTATCAATTTTATTGATTCATTGTTGCAGCCCTATTGTCATTATTATTGGTGAGTTTCTGTGCAGTCTCTCCTTAGATTCAGCCTGGGACAGACTCTGCTCCTGAGAGTTTGTTATTAGTTTATATTCAGATAAGGTAAAGGTCATTTTACTCTGAGACCTGCTGACTGTCTGTGCTGCTGGAGCTGATTGGAGTCAGATACGAGAATAAAGTTTTTAGAAGACATTCTACTGGTTTTTGTCTGTATTTGAGAGTTATTCATGTTATCTTTTATTGCTAACGTTTATTGTACTGGGACCTGAAYACACGTTTCCTTCTTTCATGTGCAAACATAAATTGCATTTTTTTCCCACAATTTTGTTTTATTTTTCTGTCACGCTTTAATATTAGCATTCATGCTAACTGTTTTTTTTTTTACATCTTTTCCTCTAGTTCTCTACAAATTTTCTCGTCTTCCTTGTTTTCATCAAGGTTTTCATAGCCTTCCTCCACAGCTCGAGAATCCACCAACATCACTTCTCAGAAAAACATTGCCAATATTGTCCCAGAAGTTTTACAGCAAAGTGAAAGTTTTAGTTTTTTTGATACAAAGCCCCCTGCGGAAGCAAATAAAACTAACGGGACGGTTATGGGAAATGACTTATTGTTTAGTAGAGACTTCAAACTTGAAACCAGTTTTTAAATTGTGTTGTTAGGCAAATAGAACCAGAGTTATGATAAAAAGTAAACACCACATTTTATGTACTTAAAATGAYGGGGAGGGAGAGGGGAAAGTGGGGGGCTGCTCCAGAGCCACACTTACATGGGCCAGTAGAACCAAGGATCAGTCCTGATCTCTAGAAAACAGAGTACCATAGGCCAGGGGTTCTTAACCTTTTTGACCTCAGGGCCCAATTTGTTGAACATTAAGTGGCACGAGACCCAGTCAGACATTACCACTGTATGGATG